ATTATTACACATTATACAAAAAAGTGGGACAAAATATGACGTGCTCGTTTTCTCCTAAACTGGCGAGGCCTAACGCTGTTTTGTGAAATGCCATTCCTTTTTGTCGTCCCAACTTAGCATCAAAGAGCGCCCATTAGCTGTTAAAAGAAGGATTGTTTTATAATATTTTACTATTCTTTATAAAATATGTCAAAAAATGTTGAGAGATTACGACAAAACTTGCGATACTTACTCGTTGTTGAGTCCGCCAGGTTTGTCTTGTTGGCGCTCACATCGCGAAGTCAGAACTTCTTCAAAACTCTCTTACATTCATCAAAACTCTCACAAAAATCACAGTATACTTAATTATAAATACAAGCATTGGCAATATGATATTATAGCTGTGAAAGAGAAGGATTAGGATTGATCTTAAGATCAATTTAAACGCTATTGAAAGACACGCTTCGATATAAAGGTAACAATTGGTTGTCATGCATTACGGAGAATAACTTGCCAGTCAGCATGGCTTTTCTATGGGGAAATCGGTCACGTGATCAACTCATGCTAAAGGCCTATTGATTTGATATTCTTCTAAAGACATTTCACGGGTAGGTGGATGTGATAACCGTCCCCAACGGTGCCAGTTGTCAGCTTCTAAAACTGGATGTTGACCTTCCAACTAAAGGTGGTAAGAGAGGGTGGTTGCATTTTTTTCAGATAAAGAGTTCCCTTCAATTTCGTTGCTTTTCAAATGGCAAAAAGAAGGAGAAGAAGAAGGACGATCTTACACCGCGACGGTATGGTGATATTAGTTTTGATTTACAGCTTTTCGGGCTGGTTAAAGTCTGCAATAGTCCTGGCGAAATCTAATTTTTACGAATTATAAACTTTTCAGGTCACGTTCCTGCTCGCCCACACGCTTCGAGCGAAGCTGAAGGGGCTCATCGAGCAGGTACATACAAGTCTTTGATGTGCTTTAACGAGGAATTTGTAAGCTATGAGCATCCTGACAGTTCTAAGACGCTAAAATATGAGGACACACAAAATTGATCGTAAAAATTGCAAAAGAATCAGCGATGAGAGCGATAATTTGAAAGCATCAGAAGTTATGCGTGTAGCCTTCAAACCATGAAACGTGATCAAACGGTACCCTTTGTATCGCCTTTTTCAAAGAATAGAAATGTTACTCACGCCATTGCAAATTGAAGTTACGACCGCCATGCTTACATGTTTTCTCGGCTTGACAGCGTGTTTTGGTCGCGGTCACGACCACCGGCAAGCCATCATCATCGTCGCGTCAAAAAATCAGGTGAAGGAGAAGGTAGGGACGGCACGCGAGGGGGTTAGGTTAGATTTAACCCACAATAACAGCATCAATTAGAATAGTGAAAACGCTTTATATCCGCTTCAAAAAGTGCATATATTAGTCAGTATCACGCCAGTTAGTCTCGATTTTTAGTGCAGTAAAAATAATATTTCAAATTAGAACAGTTCAAGAATATATGTCAAGTACGAGTCCCTTTCAAGCGCTGATTATGAAACTTTAAAATCTGGAATGGATGAAGTCGAACAGGAGGAGTGGGAGATCGAGTTCTTTTAGGCATCTAATGCTTTGGATAATTATAAAAAACAAGTATGCAGAACGGTATTTTGTATTTTAAACATTTTTTAATAAAATTAATTGTAAGCAGTTCCATCTTGACGCAAATGTTGTCAATATTGGTTTCGTTTTTGTCATACAACGACGAGGGAAAATTATAAAAAGGGAATCTCGTGGGATCGACAATTTTTTGCGGGATCAGGGATCAAAATTCCCATCGCTTCTGGGATCAGGGATTAAAATTTTGCCTAAAATATCTGGATCATTCACAAAAACATACACCTCGTTACGACCCTGATTTGAATTTTAACCTCAAAACGTGTAACCTCATGTCAGGCAAGGCAAGCTTTATTATTCGCAGCTGTCAGTTAAGCTGACGAGTGACAGTAACAGTATTACAACAGTAACAGATTGTTAGAGAAAAGAGCTACGTGTACGTGTCGAATCCATAGCGAGACTGAAATTTATTCTTCCCAGAGAGAGTTCTAAAATAGGAAAGAAAATCCACAAATCTTCTGTCTGTACCGAGTCCCGATAGAGTGCGAGAATTGAGGTCAATCTTACTTAACATGTGCGTTTTCTCTGCGTGCCGAATAGAGGATGAGGGTGCGTTTCTTTAGGAGGATTCAGATTAGGATTTGTGATCCAAGATCACGGTGCAGAATCCAAGCAACACAGGTGCCAAGTTATGGTGTGTTCCCCAGCGAGGTTCAGTTAAAACGGAGGCAGGGTTAACAAGCTGATTTTTAACGGTCGTGTGTCAAGGTTGATGTTTACGCGGGCTGTTCGAAACCTATAATCTGGAAATTTTTGAAGCAAACTGCGGCTTAGTCGGATGCAAGGGGAAGATTGAGTTTGTAGTGAATTGGAATGAAACTAAAGTAAGCGTGCTTGGATTCTGCGTTGGATTTGTGGCCGCTCGGTCATTTTGCGCTGAGATTTTTCGCTTCTCGGATCGGGCGTTTGGAAATGGAGTGTTCAGCCTTGGGCTTTTCTTATGTAAGTTGAAAACCTCGAAATGGACAACTCGCTAAATTGGGTTCTTTTCATCAAAGTAAACGGTCAGATAACAAGTGATACGCTGTGAAAGTAAGGTGAATTATTTTCATTGAGAATTTGACGTATTGTTTTACTCCTTAGAGCGGTCGTAAATATTCTCATACAAACTCTTATCGCCATGACTGTTATTGTGCAAGATGATCATCTCACAGCCGGAGCTTGGGCCGCCTGTGGGTGCATCAAAGGAACGAAGCTTTAGTTCATCAGATCAGTTACCATGACAGCAGGCGCGAAATTGTAGAGCGCGTCAGCGGAATCGCGCGCTGAATTTAAAAACGAAAACAGGATGGCCGTCGCGGATAGAGCAGCTGTTGTTTCGTTAATAGAGGAACTTTCTAATGATTCAATACTACAAGAAGCGAGAAGTAGTGAAGATGAAGAATTTTTATTTTTTTTCTTTCGATTAGGGAGAGGCAGAGCCATGTCCGCATTGAGAATTATTTTGAACGTATTAAACCACTCTACAGTGTTTCAGATTTCTTAAGTCATTTTCGGATGTCAAGAACTACAGTCAGCTGTTTGGAACGCCTCTTAGCTACTTGCCTAGGTCTGCCTCATGGACAAAGGAACGGCGGGAGATCTACCATTGACTTGCAGAAGCAACTATTGATTACGATATGGATACTTAGGAACCCCGAATGCCTGCGATCAGTGGCCGATCGATTTAACATTACAAAATCGAGTTTCTTGCGTGTTTACCGCAGAATTTGTTGAGCGATTGCCAACAATCTTTCCGGTCAACATATGAAGTACCTACTTGTTTGAAATTGAGCATCGCTGGGCAAAATGATAAGTTTCGGATCCTTCGCCCAAAGGAACACGTTGGATCAATGATCCAATGATCCGTCTTTAGATCTCGCACATTAGTGATCCGATGAATCCTTGTCCAAAGTCAAATCCAAAGTCAGATCCAAAGTGGATTTGATAGATCACTGATCTGAAAATGGATTTGCTCAAACGGAACGCCACATATCCGAAATCCTGAGACTTGTTGTCAACCGTAATTGAGATGTGCGTTTTCTGAGCGCACCGAATAGGCTGCGATAAGTCATTCTCACTTGACATGGAGATTTATGAGCGTTTTATGTGCGTGCCGAGTAGAGTTCGAGACTTGCGGTCAATCTTCCTTAACATACGCGTTTTCTGAGCGTGCCGAAAATAGAGTGCGGGACTTGAAGTCAATCTTACTTGACATGAACGTTTTCTGTGCGTTTCGAATAGAGTGTGACATCAATAGTTAGTTCTGATAACTGGAAGGTGTTGCAAGATTTTGTTTTTCAAACACCGAAAACAACTCGTTTGAGAGAGCAACTCAAATAAGCTCAGATATAGGGCAGACCAAAAAGTTCTTTGACGTTCTTTTTCAGTAAAACGTTGTTCTTTACTTAAACACAACAAAACAGCGGTAGGGATATGTATACGCCTCATCGAGAAAAATCGGACTTTCGGTTAAACCGATAATTTTCCTTTTACACATATATTTTGGAGGTACTCGCCGAGGAAGCGACTGTGACAATGATATAGTTATGAGCAAAGTGCTACGTGAGGACAAGGCGTTAAACACCTTTTATTTCGAAAAAAATGCACTGAGCTGCTTCCAAAATTAAAACATCCATCTGTGGCAGTCAAAAGTGAGGGGTAGATTCGAATATCATATCGAATGAAGAGATTTGTGGAGACAACTCCTCGAACGATGAGATATGATGACGTCCCTTGTCTGGCAATGGTACTTCTGCAGATATGGTCGCGGTGATACTCGCAATAAAGCAGAAAATTAATATCAGGAGATTGTAAAGGAGCTTCCATGCGCTCTCCTGGCATCCTGATAAGTTCCTGACTCGTTTTAACAAAAATTATGTGAAGAAGATCGCCCGCAATTAACTGACGGGGTTCTCATTATATTTAAACAGCCCAAGTCAGTCCAATAAGGGAAACGATATGAGAGGGTCCCTAATAGGTTTTTCGGGATTCGGGATTCGGGATTGGGTTTATTTGAAGGCTGGGATCCGGCAATTTAGAGTAAGAAGAGAGCGAGATGCGAGATTGTTAATGTAAACGGGACACGGGAATCGGTATTAATTTCAAGAGGCGAATTCGGGAATCGATCACTTAAACGCTCCAAGAACCGAGAAGTCCGTTGACGAGAATTTACAAAGAAATTGATCTATATGAAAGTCCAAAAAAGCCAAGCCTCACACGCCCATGTTTTTATGGGATCGTGTTTCACTTCTTCCCACAAACATGTTTTAAGTTGATGAGTCTTATGACAATAGACGTGGAGAATATTCACTCGCTTGTGCATTTATTACATATATCCACTTTGCACGGTGTTAAATTACGCAAGAAACCTTGAAAATGTAGCCAAAGAAGGCTCAAAGGGGACAACCCAGTGGGTGGCCTATTATTTTACAAATCTAAAGCCTTGGTATCCTGCACCCGAAAGTGCCATGATCCTGTCGGCCATACCGGTATACAAATGTTATCACCTATACCAATAGCACCACAGAACATACAGAAGATGAGGGACTGAGCACAAACATTTGGTGTAGCAGTGCGTCAGATGGTAAAAGCTGAAACTCTCCCGTCGTACCCCGATCAGAGAGAAATTCAGCTGGGTGAACCGCTCAGCTTCGAACTCGCTGACTTTAAGGAGCAGCGAAAAAAAAAAAAAAAAAAAAAACCAGCCGATGAGGAAAATGAGATATTGGATATTAGAGTACGATTCCCCCGTCAATGATGAAGAATCGCATGAGTCATTTCCGGACGACGAGACCGCGTGTGATGACCGGGTCACCCTATCTTTGGAACGAGAGACTCATTTTCTCCGCGGAAGATTTTTCCTGTTTCGGAAGAAGTATTCGCTTTAACAGCAGAATTGTGTTCAATTAATTTTTCTTTAATTGTTTCTCTTGTTATGGAAGCACTTGTTGACACTGTTATTCATTTCTTTGATACTGAGCTGTCTTTACTACTATGTTTTTCCGGGGTCGAAGTTAAACGGATGGAAGTCGTTATAGTGACTAGCTTATGTTATTCGTGCAAAACTTTGAAAACTTCTTGAATGAACGATATCGTTCGGGTGAAAAAAGATAAACTTACGCCCTACGGTGACCAAAGACTCCAACGGATCAATGCTGGATGGAATAAAACAAAAATCTATGACCAGGATATCGAGATTGGCCGGTATAAACCGTCGGGATTACGGAATTGAGATAAAATTGAAGTCGGGTCGCGGGATTAAAGAACTCTTTCGGGGACCCCCATATGAATTGCTGCTGCGTTGAAAAGTCATCAGAATCCCGATTTCACACAGTATTAAACAAAAAGAAATCGTTGGCAGAGCTTTTTTAGGTTCGCAACTGGTTTCTTTAACGGCTATTACATTCGTCACCTATTCAAACATTTGTCAACTTTGGAGAATATTGCTACATTATCTTTCCTCATATTTGTATTAACTATCCCTTGAAAGCTTATTTCGATTACATTAAAAAGCCGTTTGTTACAATAAATAACATTTTCATTATAGGACCTTGTTGTTGTTCTTGATCTGTTACTAAAAGTGTCGCTACCTAAATTGAAATAACGCTACTTGAGTAAGAGTTTAACAGTGTAAGAATTAGCAGACCCGAAATACTCAATTTACGCAACGTTACACTTGGGGATGTAAGCTTTTAGGCTGTTTTGACTTTTTTTTTTTAATTGGTAGCCTAAAGATTACATAAGAATCCAGCACCAAACAAACTATGTCAACGGAAGGACAGCGTCAACAGCGAGCCGTACCTTGCGTGACAAATACTGAGTAACCACATGGCTTCAATTGCATAATCAGTCATAATTTATTTACCATGCTATTTTCGGCACGGCAACTGAATGTAAACAAGCCGTTAGTCGCGTGACGTTTGAGAAGCCTGAAATATTTTGTGGAGGAGGTTAAATAAATTGTGTGAATTAAGGAGTGTCCACTTGAGCAGAGACGTTAGATTGTCAGCGATCTGTATTTGGAATTTCGTTTGTTCACTGCAGGATTTGTTCACACTGCTGAGAGGTTAGAATTACGTTCCATATAGATAAGAATTTAGCTTACTTGTAAAGTGTAGCCTCGCCAGATTTCTGCAACGCGAGCAAAGATAATTCTGCCAAGAACTCACACTCTCCGCTCGATCGAACTGAAGTCATTTCCCCTGAAGTGCTTCTGCCGCCATCTCTGTCAGTTCACACAAACTTTCTGATATCTCCAGTATTCACTGGTTTCCCTTTGTATTTTGAGTGTGTGGGTTTCTGATCTATTATAATTTCAACTTTAGCGACACTCGTCAAATGCAAAGCACGAAGACATAACGATTTTGATAAAGTAAAACGAAGGCGCCTTCAGTCAGCCTTCTGAATGAGACGAGTTAAAGTTACACACTCTCAACAACAGGGAAAAGGAAAGCAGTGATTGTCAGTTAAGATGGCCTTAACGGGAAGTTTTGATCGAAGATTCTCTCAGGAATGGAAAGAATAAAGGGACAAACTGTTTCTGATCGTCTTGAAGACAATCAGCTCTGATCATTAATCCTTCTGTCTGGTAGTTGTTCAGTTTTCAGTTTTTCGCGTTAAGCAATGGAAGTGTTTGAACTTATGACAAAATACTCGCTTAATTCCATAGAGTGTACTTGATTTCATCTGACAGAAGTTAGAAACGAACTCAAAATCTCTTGAATCTGTAAAGAAACCAAATTGATGCTTGATTGCTTTGATCTAAATGCAGGTATGTCAGGTATTTGATAAAATAAATTAAACTTGCTCGCTGTCTGCTTCATTGATTGACAAGAGGGTCCTGTATACTCTTTATGTGAAACACGACTGGGCTATTTTTTTTCCTCGTAAATCGTGAATTGAATTGGTTTTCCTTTTCTTGAATCGTGATTAAAAATAATAAGATCTTTTTAGGTCCTCGTGAAGTAATATTTTTTATTTAAACGTGACCTGTGAATGAAGAACTGATTTAAACGTGATTCGTGAACCATTTTGTTTTGCGCGATGAATTCCCAGCTTTTTGGTGGTTTTAAAAATGTATTATTCTCGAACAGTAGTGGTTAAGTTTTGACCAGGGTTGTGACAGGACATGAACTTTACATGGATTAATAGAAGTCATAAAACAGACCTCTAATGGTCCTTGAACAAATAATATAAGACATTCTGTCATCATTTGTCACTTAAGACTGTTCAAGACTAGGAAAATTGAAAATTTAGTTGGGGAATTTAGTCTCTTACTTTCATGTGAAATGTCTCAAATGTGTGAATGTGAAAAAACTTTGATATTATTCGTGATGTGTGAAAAGGCCAAATATTTCTATGTGACTGAGTTTTACAAAGGGGTATAAGTCCGAACCTCTGACAATGAAAAGATACAAGTCAAATTCTTAGAGAACTTTAAACTCAGTTCTTTGTGATTCATTAACAATCTTTCTCATTAATATGTATAAGTACCACATCACCAAAAAATTTCAATTCCAGTATTAAATGGCCAGTTCTCTCTTGGTTGCAAAAAGAACAAAAACTTTCCTGTACATATTCAATAATTTTGATCATTATCCATAAGATTTACTATGAAAAAGCTGATTGGTCAAAAGCATTCAATCAATATACAATAGTGTGTGAAGTTGACATGATAAAATGCAATATCTGAGGCTTATACTGCATTTATCTTCTCGAGATCAATGTCTGCCTAGTTTCCAAGACCTTAAAGTTTAGTGTTCTCAAACTTTTGAAAACCAAGAGAGATGCTCAAAATAGCTGAATGCCTCTAAAAAGTTTATAATGAAACAATTATTTAATCCAGTTTTTGATATCATGCTCAACCTCATTCAATAATCACTTATTACTCTGGCATCAAGACCATGGATAGACCATAGTCACCCATGTTTCTGCTATGGTTGTTCACAAGACTTCCTGTTGTCCAATTCTGTTTTTAATAATACACTTGATTAACAAATCAGACGACTGTTATCAATTAATCACAATATAATAAAATCTGAGAAAGAAACTATAGACATCCATTATACATTTTCATAAAAAACAACAACAACAACAATTAACTTGGCAAAATGCAGGACAACAGTGTGCACACATCACACATTCTGTCCCCTTCCACAGGCATGACATGATAATTGTCCCTTTAATGGTCCTCTAACACGGCCCAATTACAAGCATGACACATACACTGTACCATAGGTGCTCAAATTGGGCTGGAGATAATGTCATGTCATGTTCAAGAATTTTGTTATAGTTTTGATTAACAGATGAAAGTTATATTTTCAGATGAAAGTTTTTCCTCCTCAACATTTTTTAATTCTGATATTTGCAAATTATTGAGCCCTGATAAGGAAGTTTGGAGAATTTGGTATTGGATCAACTAATAATCCTCTAACTGATATTTTCCTTTGTTCATATCACTTACAATATCTGCTTGATGTTGTGTTAATATTTTGTAAGGAGAATTCCTGTATTGGTCACTCATGCAAGGTGAAGGGTTGAATAAATATGTTATACATGAGTTTTGATGTTGGTTAATGATTGCAGTTGTAAAATTTTTAACTTGAATTCATTTTGCTGAAAATTAAATATTCAAGAAGCCAGGCACAATTTTTAAAGTTTTGGAGACAGTCCCTGATAGATTTGTTAATTAATGAATGATCTTAATTTATTTTAAAGTCAACTCTCTGCTAATGGACACTCTCGTAAGTGGCCAGTTCTAAGTATGGACACTTTTTTCAATTCCTCATTTTTCTGCTTAGTACCAAGTGAGTTCTTTATCACTATCCTCAGTTAATTGATATATACTTTTTCTTTTCACATTCCCTTCTTAGTTAAGCTTTTATTTATAAACATGAATAAGAAATTAAAACCAGTTTTCTCTACTCTTTGTTATTTTTTTATTTCATCAACAACATTCAATACATAACATAATGAGTACAGCAACTATGGGTGATTTGGATGATATTTCATGCAAAACATGTCTTCAATTGAAAATTGTAATCTTAAAACCATCATGCTGCTAGACAAACTCTGTAAAAAAAAAAAGCAAACAAAACAAAGAGCTCTCATTCTGATTATTTTTGTATCAAAACAGTGAATATGTCAGTGAGAAGGACTTATCCAATCAGTCTTTATTAAATGACTAGGATCATATTCTGATGGATTCACTCTGTTAATTGCAAGTAAAAATAGCTTACAGAGGATAAAATCAAACAACAGGTCTGAAAATTAGCAACTTGGTCTGATATCAACAGCTTAGAAATCATTCATGCTTTGGTTTATTTACAACTGTCTTAGGTTATCACATGAAAACAAAACCAACCATAGATTTGCCCTAATTATTTCTTTCCTGTTGGATATTAATTTTGAAATGGAAGTAGCAATTCGTATGTTTTTGGAAAAACAGCTTGGAAAACTCAGTGTATTTAAATTCAAATATCTTTCTTGTTCATAATTGCCTTTTTGTTAACATTTATAACTCAGGCAATTGTTGATGAACACAAAAATTATACAATTAGATTTAAGTTGAAATGTTTCTAATGAAAATAAATAACTCAAGACCCTTTACGCATAAGCATCCGGTCCTTTACTCAAAATGTTTAAAAGAACACTGAAGGGTGGATGGTTTCCAAAGATAATGTATTACGAGGAATAAATCATTACCTTGGTTCAGTAGATGTTAAATTATAAACCTCATTCTTGCCAATTTTTGGTTCGATTGTTATTATAAATGCCACAAGAAAGTTAGTTCAAGTTACTCACCTTTAATGACAACTTGTTTTTTTCGTTCTGACAGTTACATTTCTAAGACATGGATTCCCATATTTCTAAAGAAAAGCTGAGAAGTAAGATTGTAACAGATTATTGCGGAAGAAAGAAATTAAAACTGTCACGGTTGGAATTGCTTGAATTGCCTGAAGCGGTGCAGGAATTAACTGAGTTGGACGAACTTGACCTGTCACGGAATAAACTTAAAACAATACCTGAAAATGTTGGAAAACTAAATAATATTACGGTACTTAATGTAAGCGAAAACCAGCTGTCCATATTCCCTGCAAGTTTGACACAGCTGAAGAAACTCAAAGTGCTGAACATCTCACGTAACAAACTAACCACCATCTCTGATGCTATTGGTGAGATGGTGGCACTGAGGGGACTGGATCTGAGTTACAACCAGTTGACTGTGTTGAGTCCAGCTATGACACAGCTGAAGAAACTCGTAGTGCTGAACATCTCACATAACAAACTAACCACCATCTCTGATGCTATTGGTGAGATGGTGGCACTGGAGGGACTGGGTCTGAGTTACAACCAGTTGACTGTGTTAAATCCAGCCATAAATCAGCTGAAGAAACTCAAATCGTTGTTTGTAAATGGGAATCCTTTTACAGTTGAAGGAATGAGAAGTGTTGCGGAGCTAGAAGATAAAGGAATAATTGACCGAGTATATTCAGATCTCCAAGGTGAGTAAAGGAAATTTCTGTTCACATTATTGTTGTGACGTGTGCATTTACTAAATTGGTTCTAATGATTGACTTGCAAGTGGTTATTCTGCTTGTTACTGATTATTACAGGTAGCTGGCGATAGGTAAACTGTAAATACTGTCAGTTTTTGTGTGGTTTAACAAAGTTGGCATCACTTGAGAAATACATGACATTTGTAACGGAAGTTTATGTTCTATATTGGAAAGCTTTATTTTAACAATTTGGCTGACATTGAAATTTAAGTTCATCAATAAGGAAATATGATTTGATGTGGAATCAAGAGAGTAAATGTTATTACAAATCATTCTATGCAGTTAGGTATTATTGTTTTGAGTTTTGCTTTCTATTTGACTGGAATAAAGAAAGGATAAAATGTATCCCAAGTCATTTCATTGATAGAAATTGTTGTTTTATTTTTGCTTTCTATTTGATTCAATGAAAGTGTTCAAAAATTGAATAACTTGTAGCTTGTGAAACAAAATTTATAAACTAATACAATTTGTGAATTAAGTTACAGGAATAGAACTTGAATTTGTTTTAAGCATGACTAAATTCTGATTGTTATTTCCATATCACTGGTGATTTTTGTGCAATGTTTTTTACACTTGTAGTTGTTACCTTTTGGATATAAGCACTTTTTCTTTCTCTTTTACCAACAATTAATTGGTTATTGACTCCTCACTACTTAGAAGAACTGATTTAAGTCATTGCCTCTCTCTTTTGTGTGATCAGTCACAAGTGGTTCTAATTCTTAATGTTATAAAACATTGAGTCAGTTTAGTTTTGGTGTGCATGTTCACCAAACTCATCACTACATTTTATGCCAGGAGAATTATTTTGATTGACTGTGTAATTTTTATGTGAGAGTGGAATAAAATAAAATGTGTTTTCCAAACTCACTAATGCATTAATATCAGAAAAAAAAATTTGTGATGGTTTAGTTTTTATATACCAGCCTTTAACTCAAACATTATTCATGTTGGATATTTATAGTAGTTGATTTGTAAACTTTTAACTTTGCTTTTTTTTCAATTATTTTGTACAAATTTTCAGTGCAGAAATTTCTTTTTTCTTTGTGTTGTGAAAACTCTCTAATAAGACCAAATAGCAGATCAATGCAAAGTACAGCTGGCTTATGAAAGGGCTTTGAAAGATGGATATGTCACAGTTTACCGCAGTAGAATATTACTCATTGGTCAGGATCGAGCTGGTAAAACCAGTTTAAAGAAGAGTCTCCTAGGCCTTCCATTTGACTCTGAAGAACAAAGCACTGAGGGGATTGAAGTAGATCCTTCAAAGTGTGAAATTGATGTTGACCAAGCTGCAAGGAACTGGCAGTCCATTGGTGAGATTAAACCAGGACTGTTGGAATGTTCTAAAGATGTGGCAAAGACTGTTGTGGAGAAAATTTTTATACAAGATGAAACTTCAGAAGAAGATTTGGAGAAAGATTCAGTCCACATTTCATCTCCAGATTTTGAACAGGGATCTTTTGATGGTTACAAATATGGCAGAAAAAAGGTGATGTCAGAATTCTAAAAACATTCTTTACAAGTATGTTTAAGGCAGCTTTTTAATGACAGTATAGTTTAAAATGCTTAATGTCAAATAAAGATTATGTAAACCTTAAAGTGAAGCAAAAATTATAATTGTTTTATTATTTTTTTAAATTGATTTTTTTTACTTCGCAATGGTCTTAGCCAAAAAGCGGGGTACTGCTCATAGTCTAAACAATAATTTCCCTCCCAGTGTAGTACTTTCATTTTATTTAATTTACATCAAACTTTGGCATAATTATTTCAGAAGTGTAATTAGTTTGCTGGCTAAACTGAATCACTGTGGTACTTAACTCTTTCACTCCCGGATCAAATTTGCCATTCTCCTTACTATAAACCACACAATTTGCATAACAGTAGTTCAGAGAATTTAGTATTGGATCAAATTATTATCCCCAAATTGTTATTCTTGTATATTCTCATCACGTATCTGGTTGATATTGTATTGATATTGTAAGGAGAAATTCTGTCTTGGTCACTCATGGGAGTTAAAGGGTTAAAGTAATTAATTTCACCTTCTTTGATACTTTACTCAGGTTGAGGATAAAGGAGATAACCTGTCAGTAGATGCTACTCACAATATTAGCATTGAACACTCAATAGACTGCACCTCAGATGAGCCCACGGTAATTATTGATGTTGCTCAACCCCCTGATACTGTGAAGCATGTTCATCAGTGGTTGGAGTATCTCCAAAGCAAAGACACAAAAAGTGGTTCATTCAAAGAAGAATCCTACATTATGGACATCTGGGACTTTGCAGGGCAGCACCTGTACTATGCCAGCCATCCTATCTTCTTATCACAGCGCGCACTATACATACTGGTGCACAATCTCAGCAAGTCTTTGGATGCTGCAGCTGAGCCCTGCATGAGACAAGGGAGTAATGATGTGAAGTTGGAAAACCCTAACAACGAAACAAACATGGAGAATTTGCTGTCATGGCTGGCTACAGTACATGGTGTTGCCCTAGCAACTGATGACCCACATGATGATGCACAACATAGACTTCCCTACCTCCGCCCCCCAGTGTTTATTGTTGGAACACATGCTGATAAACCAGTTGAAGACATAGCAGTAATAAAGAAACAAATACAGGAGAGAATTTCTGGTATGGAATATGAGAGGCATGTGGTCAGACCCTTATTCTGCATTGACAACACTCAGAGACCAAACTTGACTGAGAAATCTAAAAGGAAGATTCAAAAGCAGAGAGGAAAACATAAAAGAGGTAATAATAATATTTTATGTCTTAAATTGTATCCTTCACCATGTGTTACTTGCAGTAATTGATGGTTTTATAATTGCTTACTAGCTTGTCTTTGCATCAATTCCGAGAGCACTTAAGTTGTGGCCAGTTTATTTTTTTCAATCAAAGGCCCATCAAAGGCCCATTTAGTAGACGCTGGCAAACATTGAGCATTAAGAACAATTATTATCTGTCTCTCACATTTACATGTCATCCATCAGTGGTGTTGTGTGTCATTATAATTTTAAAAGGTTGGTAGACACACAGATTGTTTAAGTTGGAGTTGTAAGGGAAGGATACTGCCCTGGTTAAATGAGTTCAGGCTAATAGTGGAAGCTAGTTATAGTTGTGTTTTTTGTTGCTTTTATGGGCTGCATTCTTCTCTTTATGTACTAGCATCACCGTACTGGGGTCTATAAATTGTTGCTGACAGATCCATTGATTTGAGAGTTTGAAATAAGGAACAGAAGATGATTTGGGGAGTTGGAGAATTATCATCTTAGCTATGTTGTCAGCTATGAAACATCTGCAATCACACATGTATGGTTAAACTATTCTCATTGTAAGCACAAATTTCTGTGTCACATTGTGCTTTTAATTCATTTCCTAAATATATTTAGCTGAGGAAGAAGGAAAAGCTGATGGAATAAAAGAATTGCAGAACAAAATCCTGGAGGTGTTGAGGCAGGAGCCTTATATGGGGGAGAAAATACCCATCAGGTAAAGGAAAGTAATAGTTATCTGAGAAACCTCATTTCATGGACTTTGGGATCAATGTTTTGCATGTATTCAAACAGTCATCAACAGTTCTTCAAAGAGCAGTCAGTGTTTTTATCATAACTGTATATGCACATACATGTATCTAAAGACAAAAATATTTTACCTCTACTAGTTTGAAGTTCATTAAAATACGTTAAACATGCGACGGTTCTAATACACAGTATACACAATTTACATATATTCTTAACCGTCTAGTCATATAAGTGCAAACAAACAAAACTCTTATTAATTTGTGACATTGTGACAATATTGTGCTTTTAAAAAGGTGTGGATGTCTGATGGATATTTGAGAAGGCACAGCTCTTTGAATTGAGATTGTTTATGTGAAAAATATAACCATATTAGAATTTTCCTAAAGTTTGGAGAAAGCTAGAGCAAGGAAATGGATGAGTTAACACTGGAAGACTGCAAATAAGTACATGACTGACTGAAGTTAAGATCCAATTTTAAACCCTAAAACATTTTAATTATTCTGTTGCCTTCCAGATGGTTTTTGTTTGAAAAGGTGATTGAAGCTTTGGTGGCCAAACAGATTTATCACAGAAATCTGCGACAACTTGAGCATTATGCAAGGAAAGATTGTTTCATGAAAGATGCAAAAGAGTTTGAGTCCATGATCAGTTTTTACCATGGTCTGGGTATGATAATCAAGCATCGAAGTACAGTTGTACTGAAGGCTCAGTGGTTGATTGATCTGTTCAAACAACTGATAACCATTCCACCTTTCAATAAACAGGTAAGAAAAAAAGTTCATTTTAGAAAGGCCTTACTTGGAAAATGTTTAACAATTTAAGTGAACAGAAAATGAGAATGATACTTTTGTTTAATATATTGGTAACTTATGCAACAGCTGTGACTCTTTGATCTCCCAAGTTATTTCATGTACCTTTTGCAGCTTTTCAGGTCATAGATTGATTTAGCCTTTTTCCTTTACAAGAGACTTGCATTGGCTTGCTACCGCTCACAATAATTGTATTTACGCAATTTTTTTTCACTTGCACTAAATAGCTTTTGTGGTGGTGAATAACAACTAATAATCATCTCTGAGCAGCCAAAGATACAAAATTGTCCATTGAGAGTGTAATTTCTTACCATTTCGGTACATTGATTGAAATAAAAGTTTTCTAGTTCTTTTACATACGCATGGGAAACATTCAGGAGAAACATTTGGTGGATTTCTCTTATCTGGAATTTTTGTTATTTATGTATTTTGTAGAATGCTCGATATGCTAAGTACTGGCGGGAACTTGAAGGAAGTGGCATCCTTAGCATGGAACATGTTGATCATGTATTTTCCAGCTTTATTGGACAAAGAAACATCAAGGGAGACATTTTAGACATGATGGAGCAATTTGGCTTGATCGCTAAGTTCTCAGCTTCCCCAACCGATGAGAAGTACTTTGTACCAGCTCAGTTGAAGTCATCACCTGTAGAACTCAGTAAGATGGAACCATCATCAACTGATCCATGTCCATTGTATCTCCTCTTTGTCCATGGCTTTGTCCCTCATGGTCTCTTCTTGCAGCTTGTCTCGCGATCCATTCGTTGGTGTTCAAAGACATGGGCCATACATCAACCTCGCCTGTACCAAAATGGAGCATGGTTCATCATTGGGAAAGATATTCATGATTTTGTCCTCATATGCAAAACAGGATTTGTGAAAGTAATCTTGAGACAAAGAAAGGCACAAAGTCATCAGGTTGAAGGACAGAACTCCGTCGAACTAGCAACTCTTGTTCGTGAATTTCTTGAAGACACACTAAAGAATTTGTCACACGAAATGCCATACCTGAGGGGACTGCAGTATAGGCTGTGTGTTGCATGTCCTTATTGTCATCCAGGGGTAGAAGAAACAGGTCGTGCATGCTCAGATCACGTGAAAACCACTTGCGCACACAAGGACTGCTTCCATCTCATTGATGCAAATGAAGGTCGGCCGGACATCTGTACGCGAAAACTTTGCAATATGATAGAACCAGTTTGTGGATTGGAGAAATGGTTCTTGAAAAGAAGAAGCCAGGTATAATTGACTGTAATGATCTTTCAAGCAAAGATTTCTAGCCTCAGTTTCATCTTATCTTTGCTCCCCTAAATAACTTGATGTTAATATCAATTGGGCTGTTATCAGTGTTGAGAAAGGGAGCCCTGATAGATTGTCTTCAGTTTTAAATATGTCATAGAGTTTCTAACAAGATAAAATATTTTTTTAATTTTATCCTTTTTTGTTTTTCCTCGGTAAAGTTTTGATCAATAAAAATTTGTATAACCACATCCAAAGTTTTTTTTTTATTTAATTATCATAATCTTATATGACCTTTTTTCCTTCAGGGTTTGTTCATGTCAAATGTAGCTGCTAGGTCACATGATGAAGCAAGTGAAATAAATTCAATGAAGTCTGCCACAGCATTGAAGGTGACTCTCCTGGGAAGTGAGTGGAGTTCGTCAATGGGTGGCTTGTCCACCATCAACAGACAGCTTGCCATTCTGTTGGCCAAACACTCTGACGTGGATGTTACTCTCCTTGTCCCACAGTTCGCCTGTTCTGAACAAGAGAGGAGAATTGCTGGAATTCACAATGTATTCCTCAGAGAGGCACAACAACGTCCAGGCTATGCCGACCCCCTTGACTGGCTGAGTGCCCCACCGAGAGATCTGGACATTGACATAGTACTGGGTCATGGAGCAAAGCTTGGTAAACAAGCCCAATTTATTAGAGAATCGCACCAGTGCAAGTGGATACAGGTAGTGCACACTGCACCTGAAGAACTCGCAATGCACAAAAACTATTCCAAGGCTATTTCCAAGGGTCAAGAGAAGAATTTAACGGAAGTGGCGTTGTGTGAGTTGGCAGATGCTGTGTTAACAGTTGGACCAAAGCTAACAGAGGCTTTCTCCGTTCAGCTCGGCTCATGCAAGAGTGAGGACGACATCCTTCAACTGACTCCTGGAACATTCCGTGAGTTCTCTGACGTAAAACAAGCCCCTAAGGAGCGTAACAAGTTCAAGGTACTGACGTTTGGCCGTGGTGACTCAGAGGACTTCAGCTTGAAGGGCTACGATATCTCTGCTAGAGCCATAACTGAACTAAAAGACAAGTCTTACTGTCTCATCTTCGTGGGTGCACCTGACAATGAACAGGATGAGGTAGCAGAGGATTTACTGAAGAGTGGAATTGATAAAAGCCAGCTGACCGTCCGAAAATTCGTGAACAGCAAGGAGAACTTGAAAAAATTATTTTATGAAGTTGATCTCTGCATCATGCCCTCTAGAACAGAGGGGTTTGGTCTGACAGCATTAGAAGCGTTGTCTGCTGGTCTTCCCATTCTTGTCAGTGGAAACTCCGGATTTGGTGAAGCACTGTGCACTTTACCATCGGGCAAATCATTCGTGGTAGAGTCTGAGGACCCTGAGGAGTGGGCAAAGGCAATTGCTGGTGTCCGACAGAAGGAAAGATCAGATCGACTTCGAGATATTCGACAACTGAGGAGTTCATATGAAGAGAAATTTAGCTGGGAGAAGCAGTGTGACAGTCTTGTGGAGAAGATGTGGGACATAGTTCATGGTGAGAATGTTTTCAACATCCTTAAAAAAGTGTTTTAGGGGGCTACTCGGCCTTCGGTCTCTTATTAACTGTGGCGGAAAGCACGAACACCTCGTATAAAAAAGATGTTAAACATGAATAATAATTAGTCATTTTATCCTCTTGTTTACTGTGTTATTAAAACAAAAGTTTCTTTTTATCTTTTTAGCTTCTAAAAGACGAGACACAAGTTTTAGAGCTCGGCAGGTCGAATTTGTTGATACGTCGACCAAACAACTAACAGTGGATTCATTACTGACTCCAAGTGAGTAAAATAATTTTTTTAACAAATGATAATTGATATCCGCAAAGAAGTACAGACAGGTTACAAGGAGATCCAGCAATTTTCTTTCCCTGACTTTTGACTTCAGGCCAGCTACGCTTTGTAAAAACTTAGTAAGGTATTTTTTACTTAGAAGACATGTTTTTACTTATACCACTACACTCTTCAGTCGCAAACGTAAGACTTATACAAAGAAATTCGATTTTTTTTACTTTCTGATCCGGACGGACGGCTTAGTTTTATTTATTTCGTTGAGTCATTTGAAGTTTTCATCCAATCGGAAACCACCAGAAATTATTTGAAACAGGGAGACATGGGGAGTTGTTCTGCTTTTTCTCAAAACAAAAGCAAAGTTTAAATACTGTTTCTATCAAAACAAGTTTATGTTCTATTCATGATACAGTTGTGTTTCAAAACAATATTGAAGTAATAACATATTCATACGGTAGAGGAAATACATCAGTATATTTTTGAAGCCCGTACTTTTTTTCCCTGGATTCCTTTTTCCAGTTACACAGAAATGTCAGAGTGTAGACCTCGTGTTAATTTTTCTCCTCGCTCCTTCTCTCTCGATCATCAGTGTATTCATTCTCGGGCAGATATCGAACTTAAAACGTGACTTAAATGACAGTAAGAGCTTCCTTTTTAAGGCTTAGTTTTTGGACCAAACAGTGGAAGTTTGGTGGTTGAAGCCCTTCTTTTCCTTATAAATCTGAGAGTTTCCCTTAGTAAGTTTAGGATTGTTATCTTCCAGCAGACGATTGTTTCGCTTCTTTCAATCATGCAGTTAGATTAATAAGAACTTTGTTTTTTCTAGGTTCTTTTGACCGAATCATCCAGAAGCTGCAGCGGATGCAACTCGATGCGAGCCAAATCAAGAGCAGAACAGATCTATCACTGGGGTTGAGGAATATTGCATCAGACAAGGGCTTCAGAATATCTGACAATAAAGGATTAGGAAATTGCATGTTCTATGCCTTGTCCGAACAACTGGAAATTGTTAAGGGAATCAAAATCCTACATGGCGAATTAAGACAAACCTTGGTCCAGTACCTCAGGAATAACCCAAAACTTGTAAGTTGATATTAGTATGTCTAACAGAGTATGTTACGCGATGTTATTTTAAGAGCATGACAAAGGTTTAGTGATAATACAGGCCACTTGGCAAACACCACGAGAACCTATCCCAATGTTCACAGCGTGAAGTGACCACAAGTACTATTACTCTTCCTGCGTGGACTGATGGTCTTTTTTTTCAGGAGTTCCTATACCACCTTGTACCCCTGGTGGAAAAGGGTACAAGGTACCACTTAATGTGGTGTCTGAAGAAGCAGGCCATCGCAATTTTAGTCACTTAAATTTAATTTAGCTTCAAGAAAGGTCCATTTAAACCTGCATCAGAGAGCAGAATTCTAGTTATTCTTTATATGATGGATATTTGTTTTCCTGCTGTTTTCAAAGCGTTTTGGAATATACACAGACGTTTTGAAAGACGTTTCAATCAGAAAATTTGTTACTATGCAGTAAATTGCTAATTAAAGGTCGTCTTGTACCATTCTGATAAAATTACTCCCTGACTCGTACTCCACGCGCTCAAGTGTCTATCAACAATTCTTTTAAGTTTCCCTCTTTAACTAATTCTTCCTACAGCCGGATGGAACAGATCTGTTTGACTTTGTCCATGGACATCAAACGTGGACTGAGTACCTTGTACACATGGAACAAGATGGCGCTTGGGGTGACCACGTGATTCTGTGTGCTGCAGCTAACTGCTTTAAAACGTGCATTCATGTGGTCAGCAGTCTATCCCATAGTAATGATGTAATCATTACGCCACATTGTCCAGTTGACGAAAGCAAACCTCTTATGCTGGGACATGTTCATGAGGTGCACTATGTCAGCCTTCGACCCGTACAAGGTACAGCTCATTACATTATTCTAATTAAATGTAATTTCTAAGCTATAGTGATATTTGTTAGTTAGGATCCTTAATCTTCTTTTAAATACCGAGTTGACAACAGTTACCATTTTTGTTGTTCGATTTGCTCATTTAACACGCATCATGAAGTTTGTGGTTTCATAATTCATGCTTCATCGCTGGCTCCCATCTCAATAATCAAAGCAATTCATGCACTCTATTGTTCTCCCTTTCCGTTTAATCACAGTGTTCTGATTCTTGTGTTTACAGGTTAAAGTGGCAGGCCCTTCCAGTCACTTTGATCGGCCCTTGTGAAGAGCTCGGCCTTGCAGAATGACTTCACAGGCATAGAGACTATTGATGCAAATTGGACAACTAGAGCTTTCTTCAGTCGATTTTCCAATGTAAACTTTAAAATCTTAGATTTTATTAGAGTTTCCAAAAAATGTTTACAACAGAACAAGGACAATAAAAAGGCCCTATAATAAAAATTTATTTCTTGTAACAAATGGCTTTGAAATGTAATCGAAATAAGCTTTCGAGGGAGAGATAATACAAATATGAGGAAAAGATAACTTAGTAATATTCTCCAAAGTTGACAAATGTTTGAATAGGTGAAGAATGTGATAGCCGATAAAGAAACTACTTGCAAACCTAAAAGAACTCCGCCAACGATTTCATTTTGTTTAATACTGTACGATGTGGGGATTCTGATGAAATTTTACAACGCAACAGCAATTCAAATCGTTCCCCTGATAGGACTGACTCAGCTGTTTAGATATTATGAGAATCCGTCAGTTATTTGCGGGCGAGGCTCTTCGCATATCTCTTATCAAAACGAGTAAGGAACTTATCAGGATGCCAAAAGAGTGCATGCAAGCTGCTTAATAATCTTCTGATATTAATTTTCTGCTTTATTGCGAGTATCACTGCCACCATGTCTTCAGAAGTATCATCGCCAGGCAAGAGACGTCATCATATTTTATTGTTCGAGGAGTTGTCTTCGAAAAATCTCTTAATTGGATACGATATTCGAATCTACCCCGCTTTATTAACTGCTACAGGTGGATGTTTTAATTTTGGAAGTACTTCATTCCATTTTTTTGGAAAGAAACGGTGTTTAACCCTTGAACTCCTTGAAGTGATTAACATTTAACTTCTCCCTTTAATATTCATACATTATTCAGCAAACAGGTGATGAGAATATTCAAATTTATCAGGTAGAAGCTGCTACCTTGATCTAGCACGAAATTCTCATAATTAATTAATAAGGACATGTGTAGCAGCTAGAGGGGAGAATTAACAATCAGATCTTGGGAGTGAAAGGGTTAACACCTTGTCATCACGTAGCGCTTTACCCACAACTATATCATAGTCACAGCTTTTCCGTTCCATGAATAGGAACTTTCTCGCTTCCTCGACGAATTCCTCCAAAATATATCTGTGAAAGGAAAATTATCGGTTTAACCGAAAGCTCGATTTTTCTCGATGTGGCGCACACAAATCCCTACCGCTTTCTTGTTGTGTTTTAAAGGCAAAGAACAACGTTTTAAAAAAGAACGTGAAAAAACTTTTCACTAGATACACAACCGCTAACCTACTTAACTTAACCTAACCTACGTAACGTGCACAACTGAATATATTTTTACCGCCTGTTACATAACGTTGCGTGATGAAAGTTGATTACACTAAATTCTTCGGATGTCAACAATACGAAATGAACACTAAGTCCGGGTCCTATTTACAATCAACAACATGCATATCTTTGTTTTGTATTCCAAGTAACATAGAATCTTCATAGTCTTGGTTTGCCCAATATCTGAGCTTATTTGAGTTGCTCTCTCAAAAGAGTTGGTCTCGGCGATTGAAAAAAACCTCGCAACATCCTCCAGTCATCAGAACTAACTATTGATCTCACAATATTCAACACGCATAGAAAACGCACATGTCAAGAAGATTGACTTCAATTCCTGCACTCTATCTGAAATGGTCGAATCAAATTACAAACGTCTACACAATGTGAAACACACCTACCTGCGTTAGACATGATTAACAGGTGATCAGAGAGAGGTAAAAGCGATTGATTTATGAGGACAAGGAAGTTACGGAAATATTACAACCTCTTGATCAACATAACACACCTTGCTTTCTTGAGTTCACGACACGCTTAGTTTGTTCTGAAAATGTTTTACATGCAAGCATACCTAGCTCCCGAGCCGAATTTTTCACGAGTACGTCTCTTTCCAAAGGTTTTGACAATAGTTAAAGCACTCTGATGTTTTTCATCGAAATTTCTGAGAAAAAGAAAGGTAACGACCTCGCGCTCGAACGCTTATCCAACATCCTGAACCCTAACGCTATCTTTAGACTCGATAAAATTGATCTTGCTTCGCTTTTGGTAGTTATTAGAATTACATACCACTGTATACACGATGATAGATATACTGAAGCAGGTTGTTTGGGGCATCTCTGCTATTGAGGGTACTGCAAACAACGACTGTTATCAAAATATCCTCTAAACTGCTGCACTTAGTCTAACCTGGAACACAGAGGTAAGGATTCAACCGATCGAAATTCTTGGGAAAATTCACTCATCGCGAAAGTTCCTTTTTTCGGCTGAGGCGTAAACTAAATGATTTTTAGATAACTGTAGAGCACTTTTACAAACGAGGAACTCAACAAGTCGAGAAGCGAGAGACGAATGATCTTCGGATATGTAATCGTGATATTCGCTTAATTAAAATAATCACGTTCTTGACAACAGAAATCAAATTTCCTTACTGTCACGCGATCACGTGTTGAGGTCTTTACCTTACTTTACAGTTGCATTCCTCTGATCCCTATATCTGTTCAGAAGGTAAATCTGATTCCTTGTGTTTAACTTGGTGAGATCGTCGTCATTTTCATGATTGTCCGAAGATAAGTTAAACGGACAAATTTTCCTCAAAAAGGAAACCTGTTTGAGACTCTCAGTCAGTAGATTTGAGTCAAGCGAAGAACCGGGCGAGTTCAAGTCGATGGTCACGATTTCCTGATTCCACAGCAGCTCTTTCGCTCACTTCCATTAACCGAGAGCAAACAAAAATTAAGGCCAACATCAGCCCCGCTACCAAAACAAGAAAAGCGAGATGGGCTTATACCCGGGGGGGGGGGGGGGTAAGTGTGCTTATAATTGTTTGTTTTTGTTGTTGCTGTTTTGTTCAAAGGTAGATAGGCCTTTAACAGCTCATTTAATGGTTCACAAACAAGCTATCAAACGATAAAACTTGACTTTTTCATGATCATATACCCTACAATTTTTCAAAGCCTGATATTTCTGTGGTAGAACACATTCATGGGTTCAACTACCCAACACATTGGCTTCTATTTCAGTTCTAAAATAAAGTCTCACATTTTAAAAGCTGGAAATGTACACAGGAAATGACATTAACATATGTGAGGTGACTAAAAATGGAATCATAGAATGGTCACCATTTTAGAATAAGCTTTATACTCATTATGAGTTAGTCTAACACAGTTCACATTAGCCATAATTTGCTTTTAATTCATCCATTCTACAATGATGTTCGCTTTTCCAAGTACCTGAAAAAACAAAACAAATTTAAAAACTATAAAAATCGTGGCAATCAAGCTGAGCACAGGGACTTTCATAATATTCCTTTTAAGTTTCCACAAGCCTAAATGTCTCCTTACATCATTTTTTTATCCCAGACAAAAAGTGAGTGGGTTCCCTGTGACATCTTCTGTTCCTGAACTTTGCAGCAACAGGTGCAGCTGTTCTCTCTTTTCAAGTCTCTACACTTAAATTTTCTTTGCCTGCAACAAAAATACATCATCAAACAAGAGGAAATCTTTAGAGAGACAAAAAATTGAAATAGTACATGGTATTTTTTAAATTGATAAAAATCCCTATTTTACTAACATCTTGTTGCAGAGTAAACAAAAAGGCCAGGCACACAAGGTTTTCTATAATTTGAACATTAACTTTTTCTAATCCTCAAACCCCAAAAAGTGACAAGGAACTAATTTCTCCTTACAATATCATCCCTAAATTAAACATTAAGGTCATGAGAATAGAGCAAATGATCACTAACAAAAAAAAAGCTCTTGATTGTTGAGCAAATTCTCCTTGTCAGAACACAGAGAAAAGTATGGAGAAAATGCATATATATTGATGTTAGAGTGTAAAGGGTTAAAAACAGACAATAGGGAATGCATGTGTATAGATTAAGGATTCTAGAATATCATTGTGCTTCTACAATTTCCTTGGCTGACAGAGTGTTCTTGCAGGAATTGGCACATGTGAGCACAGAGGAGCAGATGGGAAATGTATATGTAACAGCATAAAAGTTACATGAGCATCATCTTCCAAATGATGATGAATTGAGCTTCTGTTTTTCTATTGCTCAATTCAGCAAATCTAATTTATCGCACATGTATTTGTAAGGGAAATCCCATGAGCTCAAGTGCATCTCTTAATTCAAAGGCGTCAGTGATGTTTACAAAGCTTTGGTAAATGAACTAGCAATTGGAATGCTTGTTGGAAAACTCTCAAAACATATAATGAGTAACCATAAATTATGAAATGTAAGAGCTGTTTAATAAGTTTTTACGTATGATGTGTTCTAAACAAAACCTCATACAAATACTGCTCTTTATACATTCCTGGTGCACATTTCTCAAAACATTTTCAACCAGTTGGAAAATGCCTCAAGATAATTATATTGTTTGATTTGATCATTCATTAGAATGCAGAGGAGGATGGACACATCAAATTTTAATGTTTTCTTTTAACTACTAAAAAGTTTATTGTTGTTTAGTTCTCTTTAACCCTTTAACTCCCAGAAGTGATTGACATGTAACTTCTCCCTATAAAATCCATTCATCATCTAGCAAATAGGTAAGGAGAATACTTAAACTTATCAGGTAGAGGTTGTTTTCTTGATTTAACACCAAATTCTTGTAACTTATTTAAAAGGAAATGTGTAGCAGCTAGAGGGGAGAATTAACAATCAGATCTTGGAAGTGAAAGGGTTAAAAG